GTGCTTGTACCACAAGGACTTGGGTTCCCTGCAGTGCCAGCTTAGCACAGCTGTGAGTGAAGGGGAGTGGGTGCAAATGAGTGCAAAGGGAAAGTCCTTGGCTCCGACCCACTTCCCATGGGAAGGAGCGCTCACTCGTGTGTTTTTGCATGCACAGTTTGTCCTAGATGTTTATTTTCCCCCAGAAAAATAGATACTTTCCACCTGTGTGAGGAGGTGATTTATGGGTGCCAGTGGTGTGCTGGTGGATGTCCCGTGTGCCTGGGAAGTGTCAGTGAAGTGCCAGTGCTCATACAGGTCAGCCTTTCTCCTGCAGGTCCCTCCTGCCCTGCACCTCGCTGCTCTCCTTGCACAGGTGCTGGTGCAGGTGTCCTTTAAGGAAGGGCAGAACAGTGGTGTGTCAGCTGAGTACCAGAGTGAAAGAAATTTAACTGCAGTTTTCTCTCCTGGAACTAAAGAATTAGTGGTCACAAGTGGGAGATGAGTGAGTTGAAAATACCACATTGCTTTCTAGCATTAGGACTGCAGCCTAAGCAGTGCTTTCAAACAGGGAGAAACAAGATGTTGCCCAGCGGCAACCAAGTTTCCTGAAACCTGTCTGCAAGTTTCTGCTGAATCTGAGGCAGCTGTTATTTTACAAAGTTGGCCAAATCTGGAAGCTTCTGCCGGCATGAGTGTTTCCTAGCACCAGCTTCACCATCCTGACAAACACCAAGCGTCTGCTATGAAATCTCTTCTGAAATAAAGAGGGAACAGCTTGGGAGCCCTTTTATCCTGGAATACAGTCAGCAGGGTGTGTTTGGCCCCAAATGGTTAGTTTTACAAAAATAATGGTAACTTGAAAAATTCAGTTGTTTTCTGGTATCTGCATGCTTTCAATACTTATTTCTATTGTACACTTCCATAAGGAGGTCGGCAGATTTTAATTGTCTAGAAATAGAGTCTGCAAAAGGAAGGGTATCTCTTCAGAGAAGTGTCTGGAATGTATCGAGGACAAATAATAAGAATTTAGATTGCTATGTCTGGCAGTTTGTTTTGACTTGTAACCTGTGTGAGTAGCAAATTTTATATTACCTCAAAATGTTCTTGGATAGTAACATTTTAAAATACTTTTTTTACTAATAAGTTTTGTGTATTTCAAGACACTCAAGTATTTGTAGAAAGTTGAAACATTTGGGGAATTCATTTGAAAGGAAGGTAGGTCTTTGCAGTCCTAAGTGTTTTGTTGCAATCAAATAATAAAAAAAAATAAATGTTTTAAAACTTCATATTGGAATAAGAGCAGGCAACACACTCCTGCCATTGTGTTTTAGGTTCAATTTATATTAATATTTTTTTCACTAAATAATAATTAGATTTATGCCATTTAAAGCATTGTACACTTATTGTACACTTATTTCCTTCATCGGTTGTATGGTAGAAGTGACTAAAAATATTTATTAAGTTATTTAAATATAATAGATACATTTCTGCTTTTTGTTCCATAATAGCCTGTGAACTTTAGGAAAAAAAAGAGTACAACTGATTGCAAAGATTACATTTTTAATTATACAGAAGGCTTCCACTTCTAAAAATGTTTTTCAAACCTTAAAATATAAAGTATTATATTTCTAGATGGCAGCATGCCTGTTTATGTCCAGGGCTTCCAGGTTTAATGTTACCGTGCCCCAGACTGCTGAACTGTTTCTGCTTGGGTTCTGTTTCATTCTTCCTGTATCATGGTTTTTCTTGGAAGAAAGTTGACTTCTTCAGCTGACGACTTCTGAGTGGTCATGGATTTATGAGATTGCAAGGGGGGACAGACATTTGGAGTGCTTTTATTTATTTCAGGTGTGTTCATACTGTATTCAAAATGCACTTGATAGTAAGTGCAGAGCTGTTTTATCTTACTTCTGTGTCACTAAAATAAACTGTTTAAGAAAACTATTAATGAAGCTTCGCTGACTTAATCTGAGCTTAAAATGAATGTCATTCCTTTAACTCCTTAGTTAATGGATGGGAAGGCAAAGGGTGCCAAGAATGCTTTGCAATTGGCAGAGCAACCAAACGTTTTTAAATTTGCTCATGCCCCAGCAGGTCTCTGTAAACACAACCTAAGTGAGCTTATTTCTGAAGTAAACTTAAGAAATGTCATTTCACTGGATAACAAAGCAAAGAAAAAGTCATAAATCTGTGTGCTGTGCACAGTTACGAGAACATGTATTCCTTTTTCTGATTCTGAATTAGCCCCTTCATTCTTAATTTAACTTGAATACAATGTTTCCATTATATCAGATTTTTTTCCGTTTTGAAAACTCCAAATGGAAATTTTTAGAAATGTGAGAATTTCCCTGAAGCATTTAAAGAGCTCTCGGAGTGGTATTGCCATAGATGAACAAGTTCAATCAGTTTTTGTACTCTCATTGCACTGGTTGGCACACATAAAGCTAAGGATGTAAGTAGTGATGAAAGGGAAAATTGAATTTTTAGTAACGATTTAATTATTTGCAGTAATTCCACACAGACTCTGTCATTTTAATCATTGTGTGATTATTACTTCAGAAAAAAAAAATTTAGCGCATTTTAAAATTATGTCAAAAAAAGCTGTCCTCTGTGTGTTTTTTGCAAGGGGGTGTGCCTTCGAAAAATTCCCCCCTCGCACACACAACCTCACCAGACTCCCCCTCTCCCCTCTTCCCCACCCCCTTTCTTTTTTTCTTTTTTTTTTTCCTGCAAGACAGTTGCCTCATGCACTATTTGTCTTGATCCTTTTGATTTGCAGATCAAGGGTAGGAGCAACTGGGGCTTTCTTCATGAGCATGAAATTTTGAAGACCTGTGGTGGTGTTTAGTAGCCAGATTCAGCCTGGGTCTAACTGCTGTCTGTCTTCCTAATTGTAGCACTTAAAAAGAGCTTTTGTCTCTGTGTTGTTGTGACATAACACAAAGAACTGTGGAAAATAGGTATTTTCAAAACAGGAATTTGTCTTTTTTTTTTGGTGTGACATAATCTGTATTTATCTGCAGTTCTGATCAGATCTTAAGTAGAAGCAAAAAGCCTCTATCCTCTTTTTATTTTATTTTTGTTGTTAAAATACTTTTTTCCATCAATTGGAATAGTATGTCCTTGATATTAAAAACTTAAGGGAGAAAATTTTTATTAAATATGAGATGGAAGGTATCTTTAAATTTAAAAGGCCAAATTTTATGCCTGCAGATTTAAGCAAACATAGAAGTAATGCAAAGCTGAAATACAGTTTAGTTTTAGAACTTTCTGAACTGAGGATATTTGTTTGTCTCCTGTATACCCTTTCTGACGGACAATGTATTCTTTCTTTTTTTGTCTCTTTTTGTAATCTTAGCCCACTGTCCCCTCAGTGATGTGATTATGGAACCTTTCCAGGCTGTAGTGCCCATTTATCAGGTTCTGTGCCTTGTTTATCTATGATGCAAAGTAAATGTTTTGAAATTAATGAAGAGGGGCAGTGTTAACAGCCATAACAGAAAAAAAAAAAATAGGTGGCATGCCCAATTTTAATTTTTTTTACTCATGTTGAGAAGACATTTTCCCCTCTTTTGTTTCTTTTCCCTATTACACAGTCAAGTAACAAATATTACAGTTTAGTCAGTTGGATGCTGAATCAGGAAGATCAGGAAGAATGCCATGTTTGTCTTTAATCACTTGGAAGAGCTCTGAAGAATTTCTTGCATCTTTCAGGAAAAGAGGAATTGCTAATGGACAAAGCAAAAATGAGAAGCCTGACTTCATGCAGAAGAATTTTTGAAAGGAATTCATCAAAATTAAATTAAATATCCTGCTGCCTCAGCCATAACACATGACAATAAATGCAGGATAATCCAGGCTTTTTGTTCCTTACTATTTTTGCAATTAGTTCACTTTTTCTCCAGCAGAGAGGCTGCATGAAAGATCTTGTTATTTGTGGCTGTGGTAAAATGTGCTGGCTCAGCCTGCCTGAAGAAACAGAAGCCTTGGCAGGAATGCTGATTACCATGACAATCTAAGCAGTCTAGAGCTTTGGGGTGTTGTGGGTTTTATCATAAAGATAAAAATGTGTTCTGGATGGTAGGATAGCTGATAACATCATCATGATGCAGCAGATCCAATCGTCTTTGCAAGACTTATTTTTCATTTTGTGTTACCTGAGGATGGAGGGGGGAAACTTATCAGGTAAATTTTTGTAACATACTTGAGTATTTACACCTTTATCTTTTTTTTGGATATTGTTTTATGCTGTAGGTACATGAAGGGATTTACATTTTCATGGGTTTTCCCCAGTAGCATGGGGGGGAACTGCTGCGTAATTCTTCCCACCCCCTCTCCCCAGCCCCTTGTACAGTGCCAAATCTGTGCTGCTGTATCTTCACAAGCAAAGAGGAAAAAAAACCCCAAACCCACCTTTCCTATACATATTAGGGTGTCATTATTTCAGCCATTACTGCCTCAAAGGTTCCACACCCTCCCTCCACCAGAATGCGTGTGTGTCGGGTAATAGGGCTAATAGCATGTTGCATGGTTCAAAACTATCTCAGATTGGAGTAGGAAAAACAATCTGCTGGTCTCTGTTGGACTGTGTGAACTAAGTGTGATTGTCAGTGGTATCTGGACACTTAGGAAAGAATAAGGAGTTTCAGTTAGAAAGGAGAAATGACTTGAAGTTTTAAAGTTGCAAAGTCCCTGTGCAAATAAATTAATCTGTGAAGTTTTCTTGTTCAAAAATTGTCTAAGTGTTTTTTTAAAAATCCTTTGGCTCATTATGACAAAAGCGAGGGTATTTGCATTATTACTTGTTTATTTCTTTCCGAGTAATTTCCTTGTTTGCACTAAAAGATTTATTGAAAACTGCATGAGGTTATCAACATATCAATCAACTTTTGTTCTGTTCCAGTAATCTAAAAATCTAAGGGTTCATTGTGTAAGCTTCATTTGTAATGTGGAGCATTTACTGGTCCCATTAAATCATTGTTAAGAACAAACAAACAAAGGTGTGTCTTTCTGCACAGTTCTAGAGCATGAACCAAAAGCCGCGGGCCCGAATGATGAAGAGGAGGATGAGGGAGAACAGTTTGATTTTGATAGTGGAGATGAGATACCAGAAGCAGACAGGCAAGCCCTTGTGCCACCTATTCCTGGTCCTGGAAATTACATAGAGCACCAAGAGGCTGGTGCTGCAGGTAAGTCAGCCTGTTGATCTGTATCTCCACTGGGCTATATAGTCAAGACTGATTATAGGATGCCTTTTCTTGACAGTGCAATAAATGTACTTTAACAAAAGTTTTCCATGTGGTTATGACCCTGAGGGTAACTCAGGTTCTTCTTAATGGATCTCTTGGAGCAGATTAGAGTGAAACAACACTGAAAGATTGGTGTTTGTAAATATACACATGTTGGATTTATTTTTATTTAGCCATTTTGGTTATTATTATATAAAGTAATACGGCAATATCAAAGCATAAAAATACCACCTGCTTAAGGAAACATGTAAGGGAAAAGGAAGGAAGAAAAAGAAAGAAAGGGTTAGAGTAGGAAGATGCATAATCACCAGCCATGGATCTATGGTGACACTTGATTGAAGTGATAATTTGAAGGTCTCTGTCTGTCAGAGGTGGGAGACAAAGCCCATAAAATACAAAGACTGGTTGGTTAATACTCTCTCAGGTTCAGGTGGGAGTGCCCAAGCACCTCCTCTACGAGGGCGAAGTTCTACGCTGTCTTTTGATGAGAAATGAGTGCATCAGAAATGAGTCTGAGGGCACTTTAGGGGTAGTTGAGACTTTATGAGCTCTTCTAAGGCAGCTGCCTCTAATGTCAGCAAGCCTTGTGTGAATGTGACCTTCCCTGGGAGGAGGGTGTGTGTGTAAGGGAGGGCAGTTTGGCCATGATTTGGGCGGCCTCTCCCCAAGGTCTGCCTCAGAGCCCAGTTTGTAGCCTCTGGTGGTGGTAAGTTCACACCCTCTGTCTTATGCAGACCAGAGGTTTGTCATTACACACCCAAAAGCTCACTGTCTTCTCTTTGTGGGTTTGCAAACCTGGCCTCAGCAAAGCACCCAGGCACCTCTGAAAATGGTCAGTTTGTTTTGAGTCATAGTCCAGTCTCTCACACGTGCAAATACCATGCAAGTGTTTTGAATGTTCCTGCCAGTTACAGTCATGGTAGATCTGGCAGGGCAAGTGACCATCATATGTAGTTCCTGTGAGATTTCCCATTAAAGTGTGATGTCCAAACCAATGCATTGGACATAGTCTGAGTGTAATGCTACAGGAAAACTGTATATCCTTGCTGGTCTTAAGGAATGTTGATGACAACCAACATGTTTAGCTGTGAAACATGCAGTTTCACAGCATGTAAGGTAAGCTGTTTCACAGCTAAACTTTCTGGTTGCTGAGCTTGAGATGTGCATAAAACTAAATGGAGTTTGAATGTATGAATTTTGTTCATAAACAGAAGTTTTGCTAAATTTTAAAACATTTTTTATGGCAGATGCAGATGTTCCCAGTGCAGAGGTGTAGTCTGGAAATTGATGTATTCTGCTCAAATTGCTAACAGCTGATTTTGCTTACTTTAATCCAGTTTTCTTTTGTAAACAGATTCACTGTGCTTATGGCAATTAAAGATAGGTAACTCTTCAGGTACTATGCAGTTTGACAAACTGGAACTTAGACACCATCTTTCCCTGAGCTTCTGTTGCTTGCTCACCCTTACTGTGAAGTTGTGCTTACAGCTTAAAATGATTTGATCACTTGGGATACAGTTCTGCAGTTCCCTTCAGAGGGCTCTGTGGTTCTGCTGTACCTCAGCTGGTCTCAAAAAATACTGGGAATTTTCTATAACAGAAAACAATACATTTTCAAAGAGGAAAGCTTGTGAAGTTATTTTCTTCCTCCCTTTCTTAACAGAGCATTTTCAGGACTGCTCTTTGAGGAATGTCCCTCCACGACTTTTCTTGTCCTCGTGACTACCCCTAAAATATTTCTTGTGTTTGTAAGATCCAAACTAAATTAGAATCCACATTTTAACCTTTATGATTTAAGACTGTTTTGACTCATGTGCTTATGTCAGTCAAGTTACTGTTTTTCCATAGGCATCTTTGTAACTCATCTTGTTTTGCTCTTGTTGCATTCCTCATCTGTAAAACAGGGAGGTTGGCGCTACTGTGTGGGAATTTTCAGTCATAGGTTGTAAGCAGCTTGTATAGTAAAGATCAGGTCAGTGTTCAGCATACTTGCAAAGAGCTATTAGAGCGACTTGAACAGGTATGAAAACTAAAACTTTGTATTTTTATTTAATCTTTCAACTAAAGGAGCTGATAATTTAGAAAACACTGAGAAGCTGCAAACATCAGAACCTGCTGCAGAAGGCACTCCAGCCAAAGTAAATCCTTACTCAGTCATAAATATTTCCCCAATCCAAGATAAGGATCCATCCTCATCACCAGAACCAAGTCCTCAAGATGAAGGTGCAAGTCCCAATGTGTCTGGTGGATATTCTGTTCCTGTGCCTTGTGGATATGCTGTGCCATCCAACTTACCTTTGATCCTGCCAGCATACTGCAGTCCTGTCATCATACGCAGTGTTTCTGTAGATGAAGAAGGTACTGTATTTACACACCTTACTTTATTTGAAAGGGAATCCTTGGTTAACATCAGGTGCCTTTCATAGCACTCACCTTGGGTGAGTATGATTAATGCTAATTCCTTTTTAATGTAATGAAATAATTTCCAGATCCAGAGTTCAATGTTCAAGCCAAATGGTTTCTTCTCATACCTTTTATTGTTTTTCCTAGATCCTGGCAATATTCCTTCCCCTTTTGCCTTTTCTGTATGCATTTCTATTTGTTTAATTTCCAATTCTTGTGGATTTAGAGTTGCTGTGGGATTTTTCCCTTGATGATTTGATGAATTTTCTGTCTTCTAGCACAATTTTAAGACAGAAGGGAAAACTAGAAAGGGAAATAACTATGGATTATTACAGAAACAAGAAATTGATTTTGAAACCAGAGTTGAGCAAGTTGACAGCTTAATGTCAAGACAGGAGAAAAAGAAAGCTCCCAATATCCTGCCTTTTCCTTTTTGTATTTTGAATATACTTTTCTTTAGCTGAGCAGCAGTTCTTCTATAATTCCAGCCTTTATTCCAACCTTTGCTTTTTACCACTATTAGGGATACTGTTGAGTAAAAGCAAATGTTTGTGTGGTCCTTATTACCTGTAGAGGAATGTATGTTTGAGAGATAAAATTAAATGCATCAGGCATTGTAATTTTCTCGTAATCGCTCTTGTAACAAATGGCAATTAGCTTTCAAAAATGCATGGTGAGAACAAACTTCTAATTTTTTATAAGCACATATAAGAATAAAACTATTGCAAGGAAGGAGATTATTCTTTAGCAATGATCTAGTAAAATCAGTTTCTTATGCTAAAATGTGCCATTTGAGCCAAACTGACATGTTATTGCAAGCACTTTCTTTTTTCGTTTTGTTTTTTTTTTCATTGCAGGTACACAGTCAGCAACTGAAGAATGTCATTATAATTCTGTAAACTTGGAGGACCCTCAGAATAGGTGATTGCCAGCTCATCATGTTGTAATGATTTGTAAAGTCTTAATTCCTAAGAAAGCTTGCATTTAATAACTGTTTTATTTTTCTTGTGTGATGCTTCCATTTTTGTTGGTTTGGTTTTTTCACTTTCTTACTCCTGTAATTCTGGTTGTGTACTAAAATCAGCGCTGGTGTGTGTAATTGTGCATGACATTTTTGAAGACACTGGGCTGAATTTTTCTAGAGTGATGGCAGAGTCAGCTGCAACAGATTGCTGGAGGTTTGGTCTGGCCTGCTGCTTTCAGCAGGACCACTTGCAATAATCAGATCAATGGCCTTGTTGGCTGAGCCTTCAACACTCCAAAGATGGAGGTGCCTCACCTTCCCCAAGCAGTCTTCTCTGCTGTACTACCTTCCCTTCCCCCCTTTTCCCTCTACCTCCCAAAATGTCCAAACCAAATCTCCCAGTGGGCAGCCTATTGACCATCCCGCCTTTGTCTGGCATTTAAAAAGAAAAAAAAAAAAAAAAAAGGCCTCAAAACCCCCCAAACAAGCCCAAACAAAAAAATAACCCTGACTCCATCACCTCTGTAGTTCTCTTGGATAGCTGTAGCTACTCTTGGATCACCCCATAACATCCTTTCCACCAGACTAAATAATCTCCATGTCTTTTATCTCCTTCCTTGTAAACCACCTGCTTTAGTGCTTGGCTTCAGTTTCTCTACATATCTCTAGAGGTAGCTTCAGTTTCTCCATAGCTCTGTAGCAGGGGAGCGTTGGGAAGCCAAAAGTGGACATGCTGCTGTAGCAGCCTCACCAGCACCACGTGAAGCAGGGGAGCAGCTTTGCATGATGGCTTCTGATGTAACCCAGAATGTCTTTAGTCCTATTTACCATGGAAAAGAAGCTTTCACTTCACTGTTTCTGAGAGAATTTCCTGTGTTCTGGTAGATGAACTCAAAAGCAGAGTATTTTTTAAGATTGTAAAGAACGTGTTTTCAATTTTCTGACTTAAAATTGTCAGACTATTAACTAAAATAGCTTATTCATCACCTAACTACATACTGAAGCAACATTTTTTGACTAATTAGCAGCCTTGGAGTGGAAACTAGAAGGCAGAAATATATTTAGTGTCTTGTCTTTTTGGATGTTTAAAAATGTTGCGGTGTACGGTGTAACTTTTACTTCTTTTATTTCATGGCCTCTTTTTCAAGTGAAGATAACCAGAGCAAGAAAGAGGATGATGCCCTGGCCAAATGGGTTGCAGATCCTGCAAATACAGCATGGATGGAAAGTAAGTACCAGTGAACACTGAAGTACAACTGTGGAAGGTGGTGAGTTTTAAGTTGTGATCAGCAGTATGTGTGTGTCTATGTGCACAGGCAGATTTTATGTGAATGTCCATGTTCACTTTACTCTGTGTTTTCAAATAGATTCCAGAACCAAGCTGTACCAATTAGAACATTCAACAGTGTAATGAAATTGTATTTTAGGATAATGTTAACATTCACTTTTCCACCTTCTGTGGTGGAGTCTGTGGAATCATGTGTTATGGAAGTCATTTGGCTCCATCAATGCATGTCCAGTGGAAATAAGCTCCAGTTCAGAGTCTGATCTGCGACTGTATTTGAAATTGCTCTTCTTGTGCAGTAGTGGCAAATAAGCACTTGGAAGAGGAAGAAGGAATTGCCACTGTCTTGGTGTGTGCTGTTGATTCTTGGCTGGCAGCTGCATTTTAAACCAGAACAGAGACTATGTGGTTTGAGGACAGGTTATCTTTCCTGTTCTCAGCTGTTCCCACTGGGCTGGAGTTCATCTTACATATTTTGTGAAGTGACTGAAGAATTTGCGTTGTCATTCTGCCTCTTAATGTTCTATGGTAATGATTACATTATTTCGTTTTGGTTCTTTTTGAAAAGTCAATTTCAGCTTTTCTACAGCCATTCAGTAAAGCAGCCTTCAACAGGCACAGAACATATCATTCTTCTGTAAGAAGGAGGGAGAAATACTGGTTTTTGAAGTGGATTTTTGTTTTCATGCTACCAAAGGTCATCATAAGCAATGCAGATAAAACTGAAATTTCACAAATACCATATACTGCTTTGTGCATTATTGCAATATTTGAATGATTAGATGTGCAAACAAAATGCTAGTTGAGAGTGAGTAATATCTCCATTATATTAATATATGCCAATATAAACAAAATTATTTAAAATATACTAGTATATTTCAGTTGGAGAGGACCTACAGCATTTCAACTGCCTGACCATTTCAGGGCTGACGAAAACCTAAAGGCATGTTAAGGGCTTTGTCCAAATGCCTCTTAAACACTTGGTCCCATTCAAATTTTAAGAAGTTTCTCATTTGTTTGTTTGTTTGTTTGTTTTTTTCTGTCTTGATTTTAGACCCGGATGAGGTAATTTATGATGATGTGCCAAGAGAAGATTCAGACTCTGAACCAGGTTTGAGGTCTTTGTAATGTTGAAAGCAATGCAAAATGGAATTATGTTCTTGTATACTAAACAGATACATTTGTTAAGTGCCTAAAATATCTGTAAATGGAATTGACATTGTGTCAATAATTGAAAGTTCAGAATTACACTAATATTTAAAAGACTATCTCAGCAGGTCTCCTATACTGCCCTTCTCAAAAGTTGAATTCTACTTTGTTTTATAGATACTGTTCCAAATGTTTGAGTATTTTGCATATTAGCGAATTACAGTGTTGGATGTTGTAGCTGTAGTGCCCTGAACAAGGCAAGGTAGTTACGTGGCTGTTCACCATCCTGATTGTGACTCTACAGAAATGTTTTATTTCAGCTTTGAAGTGGTCCACTCCTGATTGTTGTGACCATGTTTGGTCAAGATTTTACCTTTACTGGAAATGATGGAGTTAGGGCTTAAGAAGCATATTTCATTGAGTTCTTGCTCAGGTTTGTTTTACAGTTTTTGGGTGTAGTGAAGTCTGCTTAAAGATCAGTTCCTACTGACTGATTCTGTGTTTGAATTAATTGGCTTATTGGGAGCTCAGCATCTTACTCATCATGGCTCTCAGAGAGTGTAGGTGTTTGATATTGAAATTGTTAATGAATCAAGAAAACACTTAAGCTTTCTTGTGTGAAAACCACATTAAACTTTAAAGCTGTAAGAGTTTCATTTCTTGTCCTTAGTAGTGTTCAGGCAAGGTATTTTACAAATTATTACTGATATTTTTCATTTATTATTGGAAACTGTCTTGTTACATTCATGACTTGAATGCTTATATTACGGGGAGTTCCCTCAGTGCTCTCTGAAACACGAGGCCCAGGTGGCTGAGCTAGGTGGGATATCGGATATGGAGCAAAGCTCTGCTGAGCATATTGATCAGAATCTTTAGTTTAACCCATAAGACATCAATAAAAATTTTGATTCTCATGTTGTCCCCGAAGACATTGAAAGGGGACAATGTCTTAGGAATTCTGAGGAAATAGGTAGTAAGGGAAGTTTCATGTTCGTACATTCATGATCTTGATGTTTATTATTTATATGTTTTGTCAACTATTCAAAAAAAGTTTCAGTCAGACAATCTGCATTATCACATGGACAAGAATAAATTCACCAAGTCATGGGGTAAATCCTGCCCCAAAACTCACAGAACAGGAGTTAGACTTGCATAAGTCTTGATTTATTTTGACTTACTGTGATGGTTCTTTTAAATTACTCATTGTGCTAGATTACCACTAAAATGTCTTCTTCAGTAACAATATTTTAAGGACTGTCTTGATATGCGGGGATTTAAAAAAAATTTTTTAAAATCTGAATCTTCCAAATTAGACTATATAAATTCTTTGTAATTAACACAGAGGATTCCAATGTTAATATTAAAATCCAGGGTTTTGATGGATGTGTAAAACATACCAGCTTTTCTTTTGAGTACATATTTTTTCTCTGTTTAAATGAAATGTCAATCTTAAAAGCACAGCTGCTGTTTCCTGAATTTAATAGGAGACAGTTGTAAATGCTGTATCATAACCTCTGACACTAGTGATTCTGGACATATAAGTGTTGTACCACAACAAGTATCTATGCTTTTCCACTTGTACTGACATATGATACTGCAGGTAACGTGCATTCCTGTTTCCTGATAAGCAATTGGCTCTAAATTTTCCATTTTATTTTGAGTAAATTTTATGTTCTTGACATCTGTGCCAGTGGAAAGGCCTTCTTTAACAGGAGTACTTTGGTCAGCCTTTGCAATATAGATTTGAAAAGATTATGTCTTGAAAAGGTTAATACTTCAAGTTTTTAGAGTAAATTTATTATAAGCAAGGTAGCTGCCAGGTATGGGAGACTTCCAGTGACTGGTGGTGATGAGTCATAAAACACCATTGTGTAACATGTTTCTTGCTACTTTGGTCTGACCTGTTCTGCTGGAATAGTGACATTTTCATCCGATTCTTGCCATGTTTTAGCATTTTTTAGCATATCCCCAGGGACAAATGGCAGCCTTATAAATGGAAGGATGATGCTTCTCAGTGCAGATGTGCATTCACAGAGTTTAAACTTCCTTTGAAGTTCTAAATAATTTTGTGGGATTTGGACACAACAGTGTCATTTGAGTAGCACATGTTTCTAAAAGTATCATGGTGTGCACCTATAACACTGTCCTTTTTAAGTGCTCTGTTTCAACAAAGACAATCCACTTTGGCTGTTTGAATATTGGATTTAATTCAGAATTTTTAATGTGCATACAGAAGTCTGTACAATTCTTTGTAGCATATCCTAAGTTTTCTGGTGTTTGGACAAACATACATTTCAGTGTAGCTTTTTTTATTTTGGTTTAATTCCTACAGAGGAAATGATATATGATGATGTTGAAAATGGTGAGGATGGTGGAAACAGCTCACTGGAATATGGGTGGAGTTCAAGTGAGTTTGAAAGCTATGAAGAACAGAGTGATTCTGAGTGTAAAAATGGAATTCCCAGCTCCTTTTTGCGTGGCAACCACAAGAGACATGTATGTATCCTGCAGTGCTACTCAGTCACTGAGGTTGTCCTGGTTTCTAACACTTCCCTTTCTCACTTGTATTTCTTTTTTTCCTCAATTCAGTTTCAAATGCCAAAAGCATCTTTTTAAAGGAGATATGAATCAGTGTGGAAGTGCCAGTATGTAACAAAATGTAACAGGGAAAAGAAGATGTGAAAATATTAAACAGAAGCTTATTACAAAAAAGATAAAACTCAAACTGGATAAAAATGAAATTAAAAATGAGGTTGTTTTTGCTTATGGGCAGTTCCTTACCTTCTCTTCTTTTGCATTTGCTGGATTTGTATAAGTGGTAAATAAGTGTGGAAAATAACATGAAAAATAAATGGGGACAAGCCTGTTAAGAATTGGTGGTTTGGGATCTTTAGGTGCTCAAAAGTCACAAAACTCTTCACCAGTGTTCCCTAGCTTTCTGTCTTAAATCTGCATCAGTTTGCTTGTTTGAAAGTGACTGAGCTTAAAAAACTTCTGCAAGTAAAAAGATTTTTAAAATTAAAGAGAGTTCTACCTGCTAGGAGAGAAGAGAGGAGGCATGATTAAAGTGATCCCTCTGTGACACTTCTCAGATGTCGTACCTTTGTCTCCATCTGTTCCGCAGGAGGCAGGAAGGCACAGGTGACTCAGGTGCCTGTCCTCACTGCCCCTCTCCCACTGCACAGGGAGAGGCCCTGGGCTCTTGCCTTCTCTTTGCCTTGGCTCGACTTCTTCTGCCCTTGAGTATCCTCTTTGTGGGAGGCTCCCCAGTGTCTGCTGACGGGGTTCAGACCCCCAAGAGCCACTTGGCAACTGTGTCTTGTGAGCTGCCTCAGCACCCCGTGGCTGGAATGTGCAGGGCTGCAGACGGGGTGTTATTTCATGGGACCCTTATTTTCATTTTGCAGGTTTCTTAACTTGATGAGAATAAAAGCCTTGCTGTCTGTGTTTCCCTCCAGTACATGTAATCTGCTCTCCCCTCACCTCCATCTTTGCTGCACGTCCTTTGGAAATCAGGGAGTGAGCAATTAACTGCAAGACTTGAGCCCACCCAAATCTGCACTTTGTAAGCTGAGTGCTCATCCTCTGTTTCTGGCTTGGCTTGGTTCTGACTAGAACGATTTTAAGCTGTTGCAGTTGTTTGTTTGGGAGTTTTTTCTAACAAGACTAAAAAAAATGGGGTTTGAATTTTTTTTTAAAATACCTTGCAAGAGACTAGGAAATTACTTCACATGTGAGTGTGTAAGCCTTACTGGCTTACACACTCACATGGCTGCTGGCGTACACACTCACATGGCTGCTGGCTTTTTTTTTTTAATCTTCTCTTGTTATTCTTAGCTTCAGCTTTGGCCATGGTCATGAGAATCTATTTACATATGTGAACAAAGTAAGGTTTAAAGCCATTTTTTTGGATCTCTTAAAAGTATACTTTGATCTGTCGTGGAAAACTGTTGGCAGTGGTTGAATGTGATTGCACCAGGATCAGGCACAGAGTGTCCCAGCAAGAGACTGAGGAGAGATAAGAGAAGAGGGGCGTGCCCTTGGGTACTGCCATGCAGATGGCTTTTTCAGGCCTGTGACAAAAGGTTTTGGGGATTGCTTGTGAGGATGAGCGTGAGGAGGTGAGGAACACTTAAGTTGGTGGATGGAAAAGTCATATAGGCTCTTGCACCTGCGTTGCTGGGAGATGTAGAAATCAGGAAATTAGGGAAGGGTTTTGGCAGAGAGTGAGGAAGGAAACTTTAGGATTGTCAAAAAAAACTTGCAACAAGCAATCAAGAAAACAACAAAAAAACAACCGAAAAAACCAACCCCAGCCCTCCCTGCACTGGCACTTCAGCATGGGCAGACACTACTCTTCTTCATGTACATTTTCTCTGTGTCCATTCCTTGCACTAACTCTCACTTTTCTTCAGTTCTTGTTTTGGGTATTGCAGTATATTCCCAACACATCACCTTCTGTAGCCTTTCGGAGCCTGTGAAGGACTTGCCCTACTTATAATTTTAGTGTTAGTTGAAAAGTATGGCAAGATTGGAGAGGGGATTTTTAATTTTAAGTGCTGGTATGACTGCCCTCAAAGTCACCTTTCCATTATAATTTTTATTATTCTATTTATTTACTATTTTATTTTAAGAAGGGAAGGTTTTTGTGCTGCTAAATATTTCTTGTCTGTGAACCAGATACTGTTCTTTATTATAAGGCTGCAATGCCAGAATCATGATGTTAGAGGTAATTGCATCCTGACCCAGCCTAGTGGAACTATGTGCTGGGCCTGTTGCTTTGTTTTCAACTCAGTAGGCCTTCTCTTTCCTGAGGCTTTGATCTCTTGCCAAATAACTCTGTTGATATCAAGCTGAGGGGTTTTCCACTGGACTTCTGTTATAGGGCACACCAAATATTTTCCTCTCTCTTTTTTTTTTCTTTCCTGGTTGCGTTTTAACCTCTTTTATCTACCTTTGTCAAAATGTTTAACAAATGCTAATGAGTGTTCCAGAGCATTCCTTGCTCTGTGATAGTTTCCTTACCTTGCAAATGAATATATTTGTGTACGAGATGGTTACACCCAAGTTCATACAATGAGACTATGATGCATGTGGAAACCACAAGACCATGAATCCTGTTAGTGTCTCCTTACCTGACTCACTGCCCTGTCAATTTCCATGTTCTCAGGTGCCAGCAATCTCCACAGGTTTCTCAGTCTCTGAGTTTTTTCTTCTGATTCACTGTTTTTAAGGATAGTCTAAAATATAGACTAGGTTTTGTGCTCCAGTGAATGCTTGTGGTTAAAGCTGATGTACTGTTTCCATGTGGTTTTTAAGAGATAGGCACAATACAATTAATATGTATAACAATTTAGTTACCCTAGTCTAAGTGGCTTTGCCCCTGTCTTTACAGAAAAGCACCTGGCGGAGCTCAGCAGTGCCCAGGAGCGATGGTCCCTTCCTTGGACTGGAGCTTCTCTCAGTGATAGTTTTCCCCAGTGATAGTTTTCCCTTAGCTGTCTTTGTGTCAGTAGATAGATGGGGCAATGTGCATGATTTATGTGAGTGCTTTAGCATGAAGTTTTCGGTATGGCTTTTTGAAAAGATTGTGTCTTTTTATACACTGTAGCTTTCTCATGACCTAACGCGTTTAAAGGAGCATTATGAAAAAAAGATGAAAGATTTGATGTCAAACACTGTGGGAGCTGTAGAGATTCAGCAACTAAAGCAAAAACATGAGCTGAAGGTAGTGTAGTTGATTTTTGTAACTACCTACATTTAAATAATTGCTTTTCCAACACAGACAATGTTGTCTTTTATTAATAACTTGAAAAAGTAGACAATAATTTGTATGAAATGAATTCTGAATGTGCTGAATTTTTATTCTGCAGTCTTAAGTTAAAGACTGCAATATTGCTATAATCTTAAAAATACTTGTTCAAGGACCTTTTCTCATGCTTACTTTTAATGTTAACAGTCTCAGAAAATGAGATAGGGCATTGTCTTTCCCTGATGACTGATGCACTTATCCCAGAGTGTGAGCCAGGTGTACAACCCTAGTGTCTCTCTGTGACCTTGGCTCCACGGGGCTAGCCTAGCCCTAGCTCTGCAGCCACTCAGGATCCAATTAGGAGTCTCCCTGCTCTCCATTCTCAATGGTACCGGTATAAAAAGACTGAGCTTTTGCGAAAAGCTTCAGTCTCAAAACCAGAAACTGCCTGATTGCAGCAAGGCAGCTTTGTTTTTGTTCTGACAGTAGTGGGGATTTTTTGTTGTAGTGACATTTTGGGAAAGAAGTACAAAGCAGGGTGCTTTAATAAACATTTTCCAGCAAAGCAAAATTCTTAGTTGGTTTTTTTTTTTCCATGCAATATCATTTGACTGTAGTAGCGTACTGTAAGATTATGGAATTCTTATTAAATCAATGTATTTCTTCAATGAATGAAGTTATTAGTTGTAACTTTTTCCTTCATAACAGTGTTTGTTTAAGAATATAGTTAATATATAACTGAGTCTAGGGGATTATCTTTAGGTCAGAAATACTTTGGAAGAGTTATTGGGACACTGAAAGATGGACAAGACCTCTGGCTGTTAATGACATGTGAGTAGTAGGTATTTGTTCCGTAAGATAACATTTGAGACTATTCAAAGTTTGTTTGAATGCAGAAGGGTTCTTAAGCATTTCTGCTCTTTTAGAATTGCATGCAGTATTGCCACGAAGTAAGTCCTTGTCTCGAATTTTTATTTTATTTTGAAATACAGGAGATTGGCTCTGAGCTTTCATGGTTCTCTCTACTTATTATATATTTGACTTTGAACAATATTGATAGCCTAAAAGTGTGCAGGCTCAGATGCTTTCCTATTATTCACTGAACATGTAGACTATATTTTCTATCTTGCAGATGCAAAAGCTTATGAGAGCTGCTAGAGAAGGTACCAAAGATGGACTTGAAAAGACAAAAGCAGCTGTGAAGAAGGGTCGTTCCTTCATTCGGACAAAATCTTTCATTTCTCAAGGTATATGCTATTTACAGTGTTTCTCTTTGTTACATTGTCCAGTAATTTCTGAGAAAGAAGATGAATGGCCTAGTAAATTTTTGTAGTAGGAGCTGAGAGCTACATGCAAGACATCAGATATATATCAAAAATGTATGGTATAATATTCAGTTCAGATAACAGTATGGTCAATGCATCTTGAGCAGTTTTTTTGTTTGGGGCAAGAACCTGAGTGACCTGAGAAACCTAAGGACTACAGAGATGGGTCAACTTAAGAACAATAACAAAAACCCAAACAGTGTGATCTAGGTACTGGTAGATGGGAGTATGGAAGTGCTGTTAAGTTACTGCTGTTGTGTAACCCCAGCCAGCAGCCAAGCCCCACACAGCCACTTGCTCACTCCCCTACCACCAGGACTGGGGAGAGAATTAGAAGGGTAAGAGTGAGAACTTGTGGGTTGAGATAAATGTAATAGTGTAATAGTGAACATAAAAGCCATACACAAGCAAAGAAAGACAAGGAACTAGTTCACTGCTTCCCAAGGGCAGGCAGGTGCTTATCCATCTCCAGGAGTAAAAGGCCTCATTACACACAGTGGTTACTTGGAAGACAAACACCATCACTCTGAACGTCCCCTCCCCTTACTCGTCTTTCCTCCCACTTTATATATGAAGCAGGATGTCATATGGTCTGGAATATCCTTTTAGTCAATTTGGGTGACCTGTCCAGGCTGTGTCTCCTCCCAGTCTGTCATGCACCTTCACCAGCATGGCAGTACGTAAAGCAGAAAAGGCCTTGGCTCTGTGTAAACCCTGTTCAACAATTAAAAAAAAATCTCTATATTATCACACCTGTGTCCAAATCCAAAATGTAGCTCCCTAGTAGCCACTGTAAAGAAAATTAATTCTACCTCTGTCAAAATCAGCACAGTTACTAAGTCTGTCCAGGTCTCTCCATCAAATAACTCTTGAATGTCAAGAGAATGTGCAGTTAAGACATGTCTTTCAGTGGAGAAGTAGTTGACTATTTTAGAAAGTTCATCACTGGTAAGGAGTAATGCTTTCCATACTTAAGAGTAAGTGAAAATAGGGGAAAAGACTGTACTGCTTAATCAGTTTGATGATTTTTGATGAAAGCTGAATTTCGGTTGGGAAAACAGAAAGTGATGTAAAATGAAAAAGCCACAGAAGTATTTGTGTTCTTTCTGTAGTTGAGAGCAAGTGACAGTCCTTTGTCATGAGCCATGGCAGCAGCTGTCCACAGGTAATTTTTTCAAGAGACAGATGGTAAATTAAACTAGTTTCTTTTTCAGGATAAGTCTGAGAGATAGTGTATCTTTCTGCTCAAGTGTCTGCCCAACTAATTAAATGGAAGTAACTTCTGAGCTTATAAAACTACAATTTTAGGAAGTTAAAACCACAAGGCTAGAACAAAATATTTTTACTGAGAGAGGTAACATAAAGTTGCTGTATGGGCCAGGACTTATATATCTGTCATGACCTCTGACTGCTTCTCAATTTGCTTAATTCGCAGTGAGTATAGAAAGGTACGCAAAATGAAGTGATCAAAAAGTGTTTCCTCAACTTCTTGCAGTAGAACAGATGAAAATGGTCAGCAGGGCAGTGTTACAATGGAACTGGCATTCCTTCATACATTTCTAGAGATTAGGTTGCAGACCCAGTGTGTCTGTGGATGGCTGAATCTCATAACCACTTTCCAAGTCAGCAGGGAGCTAGTAAAAAATTTGTTAACTAAACTCACAAGTTTCTCCCAGCCGTCAGATCTGCTTCCCTTATTTCTCTTTTTGTTCTAAGACAGTTTCTCATACTGTTCTTTCTTTATGTCTCCTTTTCCCGGGTCTGCTTGTTTGTCTGGCTATGTACTGCCACCTATCAGTGCACTTCGGTGGTGCTTTTTCAGTAAAATTTTTACCCACAGAGCAATGCAGTCCCTCACTCCTTTCTGATGAAAACAAACATTTTGGTTAATTTGGCTACTTTAGTTCAGCTGTAGGAGCGTGTATGGAATTTTTTTAGCTGGGTCATAATATGGGTGTTTTCAGTTTCTTCCCAGGGATCGTTTATTTTAAAACTGCTGTCACTGTGGCTGTAGTACTTTAGCCCAAGTTGTCATGTCCTGCCTTCTGGACAGCCCCATTCTCCTGGCTGAGAGGAGGGAGTAGTGGTCAACCAAAAGATGCTTAAGTTGTCTGCAGCTGTGGGATGTTAGGATGCCTTTGAAAGGTGTTCTGTATTGGAGTACCTATTGGTGGTAGCATTTGTGTGATTTCCCAGATGATACAGAAGTATTGGGAAATTTCTTTTGTTTGGTAAGTGAAAATTTATTATTTCTGTGCTCGGATGATAGAGTCTTTGCTTTTTTGGTTTTGTTTTGCTTTTTTCTTCTTTCAATCCACATGTAGAAGCTGACATTTCGTTATTTATTTGTAGATCATAGATCATCTTGTCTGGAAGAAGAAGAGCTAAATTTATTTATTGATGTGGACTGTATGCATACAGAAGCAATTATGACTCCTATGCCTGAAGGATTATCACAGCAGCAGGTAGTAAGCTTTGGGAAGTATGGTCTTCTTCATTTTTTTCTCCCCTTCTGCTCTGCACCAGTGGCTCTTAGGTACCTTTGATCTTCAAACGTATTGGCATTTTACTTAAGTAGACATCAAATTTAGAACTGAATAAGTAGTTTTTTGAAAATTTGTGTGTGTGCATATAGTTGCATCAATCCTGAATTCACCCAGAGGTGCAAAATGGTTTGCATTATAAAATTATCTATAAGAACTATATTGTTTCACTACCTGAACACTTAAACTAAATGTGATAGTTTTGAGTGAAAAAAGGAGAGAGTTAAAGCATTTTTATTGAACCAGAAAACATTGTTCTTGGTACTCTGGGATTTTTATTTTAAATGTAGACAATATCCTGTATGCTCTTTGAATCCAAAGATTTTTTTTGTTTAAAAAAAAAATCATCCTCAGTAAAGTCAAATCTACAGAAGAATTAATTTTGCTGTTTTCCACCTCAAACTGTATAGTCACTGTGGAAATAATTTAAAAAAATCCTGAAATCAGCATCAGTTAAGAAATTTTCGTTGAAAATAAATCCCTTGGGTTCATATTACTGTATTGTTATGACAGTTAATAACTGTATGAGAGTTTTTTAACTTCTTGTGGTGTCAAATAATGAGTTAGTTGGTCAGTACCTTAAGAAAATGAGAAAAAAACCAAACTAGGGGCAGTTGAGGAGAGGGCCATATATTTTTGGGATTTTTTGTTTTGTTTTACCTTTTACTTGCGTGTGGTTTACTTTTCTCTTGTGTTTAACACAGTGAAGTGCTAATCTTGTAACAAAGCAACTATCAGACTGTGTTCCATTACTGTAAGATTTTATTATCATGTGAGATTTCAGCATCTGTCTGAATGCTCTTTCCTTCTTTCCAGATAGGAATTTGAGTTTCTAGGGTACAAAACTAGGGTAGTTTTGTACAAATAAGTTTATCCTCTTTTGCAAAAAAAATCCAGAGTGCTTGTAGTGTGGAGCAAACTGGTAGTAGTTGTGCAAGTCATGACAAATGTTGCTCATCTGCCCAGGAGGAGCTGTCCAAGTGGCAGGAAGGGAGTTAGGAAATACAAAGCTCAGTTGGAGCTAGTGAGGTGTGAGAGGCGACTGTGAAGAGGTTCTGACATGTACATTGGCAACAAAAGGAGGCTGAGAAGAACATGATACACTGCTTGGTGGGGCATGGACCTAGTGATAAAGAGTCAAAACTGTGCCACCTTTGCCTTGGGTTTTACTGGTAAAGTCTGCTGGGGTGAAGCCTAATCTGCAGCTAGGGGAGCTGAGGCCATTTGAACATACAGGTGTCCGTGGGACCAGATGGGATGGAAATAAGGATGCTGTGAGTAAGGCCTTTCTCAGTCATCTAAGACCATGATGATCAGAAGACTGGGAAAAAGTGTCACACTCTTACCCACAAGAAGGAGAATTAAGTCTGACCTCACCTCAGTCCAAACAAAAGTGATGGAGCACATACTCTTGGGAGCTCTGTCTGCGTTCAGTAAGACAGGAGGGTGAGTGGGGAAAAATCAGCATAGATGGACCAGAGTCCATTTGTGCATGACCAGCTTGAGCTTCTTTGAGGTGATTGAGGGGACAGGTGATTGTGGTGACTTTAAGGGCAGAGGGGAGCAAAGTGTGTCACTTGCCTCTGCCTTAACAGGGCTTTCAGCTGTCTCCTGAAGTATTCCTGTAGGTGAGATACAGTCTGTATGGGCGGACTAAAAGGTGGGTGGGGAACAGGTGAGGACACCACGCTCAGTGAGTCCGTGGTACGAAGTGCAGCGTGGTCAGCGGTAGCGCTGTCCCTCAGGAGCAGGCACGGGCCTCTGGCCTTTAAAGCCTATGTCAGTAATCTGGATGCCAGCTGCAGGGCACATCTGGAGGTGATGCCAAACTGGAGGGGTGCAGCAGCTGTGTGGGGGAGGATGGCTGCTGGGCAGCAGGGCCTGGTGGGCTGGGTGCACAGAAACACCGGAGCAGTTCAGGGGGGCCAGCATAGCCTGGCTGTGAGAAGGGGTCACAGCCATGGGTGCCCCAGGCCAGGGTCCCCTTCCAGGCCAGGGTCCCCTTCCAGCCCAGCTGCCTTGTCACAGCAGAGCTGCTCTGGACATGCTGGCTTCAAACAGCAGGTGGCATGATGGCTTCTGTTTAAATTCTGGTGCCTGCAAGTTCTGAGGCTAGGGCTCCTATCTATTGCAATAACCTGAAGCCACTACTAAGTATTCTTTTTGTGTATTATAGAGCCTGAAATTTTCATTTCTAAACATGTTTATTTTTTTCAGAAGAATGAACTGTGACTAAAAGTAGGATTAATATTCTTCACCAGAGCCACTGATCTGCTACACCAAATAAGACACTGATAAATCCATTCTAAACACAGATTAGACACAACTAATTTCACTGTATGTAGCTTAAGCAAAGCCTCAAATAATTTTGAAGTCCTCCTTTGAAATTCCAGTACCTGAGAGAAAATTCCCACATAACCTGCATTTAATGAATGTAAAATACAAGTGTGGAAAACTTAAAGGCAGTGATGGTGGACGAGGCAGGAGGCTCAGTTCTGGAGCAGAAAGAAGCAAGCCTGGGATTTGAGTTTCATGGTCATTTAGGCTAGCTTAAAATAGCAACATGAGCAGTTTTTCCTTCTCTTGTATTTATGGAAGTGGTTTGATCCTACCCTTGTGCTGTCTTCTCCCTCATAGTCCCCATTTGAAACTCTAGAGTGAGCTGGATTAGGAAATCAATTTGGGTGAAAACAAATCCTTATAACCCACAAGAAATCTAATTGATGACAAGAAGCTTAAGCTCTAAACCACACTGGTTCTCCAGTCCTTCCTGTCCATACAAAGTCCATTTCAGCTGAAGCAGAAGCTGGAGAAGGAGGTGTATTAAATACCCTGTAATTTAGCATGAAATATGGTACCTTTTCCTGAAGGTCTGACAACTCTGTCAATGCATATAAATGTAGATAACATGGGGGTCTTCACTTATGCGTGGTAATGCCCAACAGAGAATGCTGACTTGGGTACTTTCTCAGTTTATATGGTACAGTTTATATGGCCTTAACTTTAAAAGACAGTTAGTATTTGCTTGTTTGCCCTTCATGTTGCTCCTAATAAATTTATAAAACCTACTAAAAATAAAATTTAGGACTGTTTTTGAAAAAAATTGTTTCATGTTTTGTTGTAGCAAATCAGTGAAATAGTCAACATTATCTTATACCTATGATTGTTTCCATTAACCTACATGCCTACATATTATGCATACATATTATTATGCCTACATATATACATATAAGGTGCATAGGATTATAGAATATCCTGATTTGGAAGATCAGCAGGATCACTGAAGCCCAGCTCCTGGCCCTGCACAGGACAGCCCTAAAAATTGCACCAAGTGCCTGAGAGCATTGTTAAATGCCAAAGTCAAAACACAAGTTTCAAAAGTTAAGCGTGGACTTACAACCGTCAGAAAAAAATACAGATATCGATACAATAATTGTTGTGTTCTTTAAAGTAAGTAGTTTTAGCATAACAGTAAATTAAATTACTTTTGAAAAGGTACAGTATTTTTTTATTGCAGTTGAAATTGCTTTGTATTTATTTGGTTTTATTAATGTTATATTATTGTTTTATTAATGTGAGAATTTTATCATCATCATTTCTAACTATAATGAATGTGCTACCTGATTAGAGCTTTGGGTAAAACTTTGTTGTTTCAATAGGTTGTGAGAAGGTATATTTTGGGCTCTGTAGTTGACAGTGAGAAGAATTACGTGGATGCTCTCAAAAGAATCATGGAGGTACCTTCATATCTTTTGCATTTTAACATTTTGAATATTTGAGAAAGAATCATTAAATATCATTAAAGAATCTGTCCTATGACTAACACAGATTTTGCTACAGATGCTTCATGCCAAATGTTCAGTGATTTTGTGTGTGTGTACTGTTGCATAAGTTTGTTTTTCTGCTTATAGAAGTCCTTTTTTTTTGTTTGTTTAAATCAATTTGCTTTGTTGTTTTTTTGTTGTTTTTTTTTTCCACAGCAATATGAGAAGCCCCTTTCAGATATGGAACCAAAATTACTGAGTGAAAGAAAACTTAAAATGGTCTTTTATCGAATTAAGGAAATTCTTCAGTGCCATTCAATGTTTCAGATTGCTCTGGCGAGTCGTGTATCTGAGTGGGACTCTGTTGAAATGATCGGTGATGTCTTTGTTGCTTCAGTAAGCAAATGTGTCAGAACAGATAATCTGTTTTTATTTTAGTCCTATTTTTCCATCTCCATATCTTTCTAACTTAGCTGCTTCATTCCCATGTTCTCCAATGCCTGTGGCAACTGTCAGAGTATTCATGTACTATCCTGATAAGGAAACTGACACCAACACATGTCTTCAGCTTGATTGGCAGATGTGAAAGGATTGTGAGAAAAGTTTTCAGGCTTTGACTGAAAACTAATCTTTCAGGCATCCAAGTAAACAGTTTATTTTTTATGAGAAATTAGAGATTCACAAACCCACCAAAATTAAGCTGGGACTGAGGCTCGGCATCTCGTAAAAAATGGGTAGTCATACCTAGTAGTGTGCAAGTAGAAGGAAACCACAGTAGGTAATGTCCTGAATTCCTGAGTTTGAACTGAGATGGGGCACTGATAAAGAGTATTTGTAAAACCCTGTCCCATCATTAATGGAAGTCCATTCAGTAAAGGACAGAATTGCTACTGCTTTAGATTAGAAAAAACAACAAATGGCCTTGGTTGATAGAAAGATGTTGCTCACCATGAAAGTGTGGCTCGAAGAGGCTGCCTGTCTGCTGGCTTAAATGCTTTGTTTTAGTGCCACCCAGGTGCTGAAAATCACCACCTTTTCATGCCTGCTGTAAGTGAGCTGGAATCTGATCACAGTTCACCCAAAATGAAATAGTTACTGAAGATTTGTTGTTTAAAGCAAACCTGCCTTGTTGTGACTGAAGCAAGTTAGGTAGTCTTAATGAGACCAGCTCTGCAAAAGAGAGGGATGAAATTACCAAGAAGGCAATGGGTGGTGATTTTACCATTCCCATGACTGCAGGCCACACAATCTGTCTGCTTTTTTGGTAAGTCCTTAATAGCTGAAGTCAGGGTGTGAAGGCCCTGGGACTTTGCTGATTCACTTAATCTGGAAGACAGGTAGTGAAATGATCAGGGGATCTCAGTTGTCAGTTTGAATCTCAGGGGATGCCCTTTGATTGCCCGTAGTCCTCAGGTTCTGCCCCAGTGTTCTAGCCAAGATGAAACAATTTCTGTAAATACATTTCTTGCCATTCACAGCTGTTACATCTTTCTGTTTCCAGCCTGTCTTCTGCAGAAAGATTATTTTAGGTATTACCAGTATTTCTGTATATCCAGCACTAGGCCAAGCAAAACATTTAGTTCTGAGTGAGTTCCTAATAGCCAGAGATCTATATAGCTGTGCTGGCAGAGGTCTTTTGTACTTTTAGTTAAGATTTGCGTTTTTTCTTTTCAGTTTTCTAAATCTATGGTATTGGATGCATACAGTGAATATGTAAACAACTTCAGTACAGCTGTTGGGATTCTCAAGAAATCTTGTGCCACCAAACCTGCCTTTTTAGACTTCTTAAAGGTTAGTTCATTCTTAAAATAGTTGTGCATATGCAATATGCATATGCAAATTTGACTGCTGATATGTATATTGTCTCACTGTTTTTATGGACTTAAGGTCCTTTTTATGGATTTGGCACAAACAGACCACAGAGGATGCCCTTCCAGTACTGTATTTTTGGCATAGTAACGTGCTGTTACATGTGGGGTGTGTTTTGAAGTGTGCTGTAGTTTTATTGTTATTCAAATCAGTTTATTGGTATTTGCTTTACTTTATCTGTCTAAACGTTAGGATTCTTCCATATCGGGTGAGCTTCAAATAGTAGTTCATCATATGAAGCCATTTTTTAATTTGAAATTTATTTTAATTCTAATTTATGTATTGTGTTGTAAGAAGTAGTGCAGCTGGATTTCCATTCCACAACAGTTTTGCTGGAGATTGTGTTTCTGGCTTGGGGTTGAAATTGGTTGATTTTTTTGCAGAATGCATACTACCCTGTTGCATATGATGCTTGTCATGCATGATATGTCTGGAGAGCCTGGTACAAGCAGTAGAAGTGCTGTGAATCCCTAGGGTTGACACCTTACAGACAGTACACAGAATCCATTGCACGGCTTTTGGGTTGCTGTGACATTGCTGAGAGTCTGAGAGCTCAGCCTGTCTCATTCCCCAGGCACCCTGGATTGAGTTGTGCCTCTCAGAGCTGGTCACTCTATCAGGTCTGTAACAGTGGTCCACAAAACAGTAAAAACTGGGTGCCTTGTGCAACTCTTAGGTTTTCTAGGGAAGGGTTGCAGAGGTTTGCCTTCAGATCTTAAACTAACTAACAACTTTCTAGAGTGTGGACAACTCTGTGCAGGATGATATTTTGGAAGCCTCAAGCATCTTGAAGATGGCACTCTAGTGAGCATGTAGTCACAGGTTAAACATGTTCTACTGTTAAAAGCTTGTTTTTCCAATAGAGACATAATCCACACCTCTCATCACTGCTTGTCAGGGCCACACTGGTTCTCCTTGCAGAAACGCAGACAAACTCTGATGACAGATGACACTTCATTACCTTTACTTTTTTATTTTTGCCCACCAGCAGTGAAGATCAAAATCTACACTACTGCTGTTTGGAAAAAAATACATGTTTGTATAGATAACTATGGAAATAAATTGTTGTGAAGCTGATAGTTGTAGCAATAAACAGCAATTTAAGCACAAGACCAGTTTAACATCATTTAAAATTGCTTTGTTTTTAATATTGAGTATATTCTCTAGCCTTCCTTTTTCCAGCCATTTCTGGCTTTTTTGCACATGCAAAAGAAATTTGTCTGGTTTTGTCTGCCATTCGTGATAACTAAAATAATGAATTCTAACATTTGTATTTCCAAATATAAATCAACATTTTTTCCTTTGTTTCTTCTAATAAAGAAGACCAAAATCTCTGTTTGCATAGCACTGAGATTATGACGTTTTTCTTAGATTTCCTCTTAAAAATCATAGGTAGGTTTTTAGATTTATAGGTGCTGCATTGCTGATGTGCCTTTGGCCCAGCTGTATTTATTTAAGAGGATATTTCAGTTCAGTGGCAGACCATCATTTTGATATTGACGGGTTTTTCTAAAAGATTTAATATTTTTAATTAAATCTTGATAGTAAATGGAATCTTTAGTCTTCTTTTTATAATTAATGTAAGCAATATAGAAGAATTTTTAGGAAATGTTTTTCTTTCATTCTGTAACTGGTGGAAATGTACTCAAGGTAGTAAATGTGGCTTTCTTGCATTACAGCAATGTCAGGAGTCAAGCCCTGATCGCATTACACTGTATGGTTTAATGATGAAACCTATCCAACGTTTTCCACAGTTCATTCTGCTATTGCAGGTAAATAATGTTTATCAAAGGGAGGCTCCTTTTGCATTCTTGCATAGTTTCCCCTTGGGATTACATGGTAGCTGTCTTCTGCTATAGGATCATGTTGCAGTGGAAGTGACCACTAGATCGTGGGGGAATAAAGAGAAAATTTCAGTGCATTAAGCATGCTGATCTCATGGTGTGATTGCAGGGTGCAGGAAAGCCTTAGTAAACTGGATTTACTATAGATTACTTGCTAAGTAAAATATAGTTTATAAATGGTTTTCTAATAAAGGTGTAGTTCAAATATGCTACTTGTTTATATCTGTTTGTTACCTAGTAACACTTCAAAACATGACTAGGAACTTAGTGGCATTATTTCCATTGAAGAAAAAAAAACGAGAGGATGAAATTCATACCTTGGTTAGTTTAGAATACGTGTGAGATGCAGAACAACAGTCCGCTCTCTGACCATTGGCTCACAGGACCTGCTAGAATATGTTGCAGCTTCCTTCTCACCTGCAGTGTCTTGTTTATTTTCCCATGGAAACTGTGGATTTGACAGGGAATCCTTGGCTGTCATGTCAAAAGGCAGTCAAGCTGCAGGAAGAGCACAATTCCCCAGTATAGACCTGCTCACAGGTAATAAGGGCACTGCAGGAAAGCCTTAGTAAACTAGATTTACTATAGATTACTTGCTAAGTAAAATATAGTTTATAAATGGTTTTCTAATAAAGGTGTAGTTCAAATATGCTACTTGTTTATATCTGTTTGTTACCTAGTAACACTTCAAAACATGACTAGGAACTTAGTGGCATTATTTCCATTGAAGAAAAAAAAACGAGAGGATGAAATTCATACCTTGGTTAGTTTAGAATACGTGTGAGATGCAGAACAACAGTCCGCTCTCTGACCATTGGCTCACAGGACCTGCTAGAATATGTTGCAGCTTCCTTCTCACCTGCAGTGTCTTGTTTATTTTCCCATGGAAACTGTGGATTTGACAGGGAATCCTTGGCTGTCATGTCAAAAGGCAGTCAAGCTGCAGGAAGAGCACAATTCCCCAGTATAGACCTGCTCCAGACAAATTTACTGTTTGTCCCTCCTTCCACACCACAGCAGATCTACCCCAGTAAGCACCATGTGTTAGCTCTGTTTGCAGATGCCACAGAGGAGAACAGGCTTTGAGCTGCAGGTCTGGGAATTACTGGGGGCAGAGGTGCAGAGGTAGTCATAGGGAAAGCATGTGAGTCAGAAGCCATGGTGAGAGATTTTGAAATAACAGGAATGATGGAGTTTATTGTGGTAGGAAGACAGAGTGAATATATAGGGACTTTTAAGTGCTCTGGGAATGGAGACAAAGTATAATTCAAACTGTTCCTACTGTATGCCTACAAAAGAGAAAGACTTGGAGGAGCTGTTGTGACCTTAATGAAGTAATGTCTCCTACTTCAGGAGGAGTATGCTGTCCATGTTTTAATGAGGAGTAATAAAGTAATAACAGTAATAAAAGTAATAAAGATAATACAATATTATTATGACAGTAAATATCAGGAAAGTTTCATTTTAAATCGCTTATAGACACGTACATATTATAGTATAATAATGATTGCCAGATTGTTTAGTATTACCTCCCTTCTCTGTAATTTTGTTCTTTAAATAAGAATGTATGTGATCCCATTCAGTATATTTTTAAAGAATTACTAAGATATTTGGAAAGTTAAGCAATGTGCTGTCTGAGTATTCATTAAGTGTTTATTGGTCTTATTCTTTAGTAGTACTCAAGAATGTAGTTGTGACTGTACATTCTGTAATCTTTGGAACCTTACTTTGAAAATGAATCCAATGGGTTTTTTTTTGTTTTATAATTACCCCTCAGGATATGTTGAAGAACACTAGTAAAGGACATCCTGACAGATTACCTCTACAGATGGCTCTTACAGAACTTGAGACACTGGCAGAGAAGTTAAATGAAAGGAAAAGGGATGCAGATCAGCGCTGTGAAATAAAACAAATAGCAAAAGCAATGAATGAACGTTACCTGAACAAGGTAAGGAAAGTAGGAAAGTATAATGCAAATGGAAGAGTCAGTTTCAAGTGGGCCTTGAGCAATCTCTGCCTCAGACACCAAAGAGACAGCTATGTTGTTTTTCTTTAGAGATCTACCACATGGGGTCATTCTGGATGACCTGCCTCTGAGACTGAACAGGCTCACCACTGTGTGCTGGAATAGGCAACACAGTGAACTTGCCTCAGCAGTATTGGTGTTCTGTGGCAGTGTAGGAAATAATAATATATAGTAAAATCTCATGTACGTGTTCTGCATGGAAAAATTCAACTTTTAATTTATTCTAGAAGTGGGGAATTACTCCTGTGTAAAGAAAGGGGCCATGTCCTTGTGCAGCAGTGCTTCCAACTAGGAAGCATTTCAAAATGTGCTATGTGAAAAGAACTCTAGAAGAAGACATGGAGTAAGAAGGAAGGAACAATTTTTGTTATGTGAGCTCATTAGTAGCTATCTATACTGTGGATATATGTATGTTTGTTTTATTTGTATCATAAATGATTCCTTCTTTCCATGAAGTGAGGCATAAATGCTTCAATTACTACTTCTGTGAAGTTTATGGTATTATCTTCTGGACTCCTGAGGTAAAGTAGTGGGGATTGCTGAAGGAATGGGGTTGTTTTTGGAGATACAAAAAAGCACATCTTTTAGGAAAGCAGTAGTCAACCGGAAGACACTTGTTTTAAGCTATTTACCAGCAATGGATACTGAATTTATTTTCATACTGGAACAGTATTTCCATTCTAAGTGTGTTAGAAGATGGATTCAGACATTTTACTTTCTTTCTTGTCATAATCCTGCTTCTTGAAGTAGTTATTAATCATCTGCAAACAGTTCCAAGACACAGAATGTGCTTTAGAAGAGGTGGCCCCAGTTACCTTTTGTCAGTTGATATTGATTGCAAGATTTTGTGTTTATGCAGTGGGGACTCATTGATATATACGTGGATTGTCACTCAAAATCTCGCAGGGTCCCACAGGCCTTGTGTGTTAATATCACAGAATCAGCTGAGTTGGAAGAGACCCACACGGATCGTGGAGTCCAGCTTCAGTCTCTGAACAAGACCAGCCCTGAGAGTCACACCAAGTGCCTGAGACTATTGTCCAAATACTTCTTGAACTCTATCAGGCTTGGGGCTTTGACCACTATCCTGGGGAGTCTGTTCCAGTGCCCAAACACCCTCTGGGTGAGGAATTCTCCCCTCACAAGGAAGCTGTAGACTGCAGTGAGGTCTCCCCTCAGTCTCCTCCACACTGAACAGACCAAGTGATCTCAGTTACTCCTCGTATGGCTTCCCCTCAAGGCCCTTCACCATCCTTGAGGCCCTCCTTTGGACACTCTCTAATAGCTTAATATCTTTCTTATATTGCGGCACCCAAAACTGCACACAATATTCAGGTGAGGCCAATGCAGAGCAGAGTGGGACAATCACCTCACTTGCCTGGTGGTAATGCTGGGCCTGATGCACCCCAGGACATGGTTGGCCCTCCTGGGCCTGTATATTTGCATATACAGTTTTGGAACAATGCCGGCTGGGGTGAAATAGATGATGAAGGAGGTGGTTGATTAGAAAATTAGAGTTATGGACCATTTTATTCTGTTGGACACTATGGAGATGTGTTTGACATGTAAGGGATTGGTTCATGCTTGCACACAGTGGCTGATCCTCAGCCCTTGAAGGCAAATGTCAGGAGCAATTTGCATGCCAAGAATCTCTTGGACATGTCATCTTGTCCACTGTCTGTGACACCCTGCCAGCTGCACTCCTCAGCTGTGTGAGCCCAGGGGGACAGAGCACACTTCCAGAGGCTGAGCACACGTTCTCCTCACACTCTGGCTCGCACTCTGGGCAGCTGGAATCTGTATAGGTCTTCAGTTGACTATGAAAGAAGAGGCTGAGGAAGGAAATTACAGAAATTGTGGAAGGAATCGTTTATTTTGCCAAGAAACCTTTATCAGTGTGGAAGATTCCCAGAGCAACCATGGTCTACATTAAGATGCAAAGCCCTTTAAGTCCACATGAATGATAGCGGAAGTTACTGTTTCTCTAAATCAAAAGCAGATTAATAAAGAGACCTAATTCCCATGGCAAATCCACCTGCAATCACTTGTGCTAGGATGGCAATTGATAACTCATTGTTTTTGCTTTTTGTGTGCTGAATGTTGGATGTACTATGTGTAATATACAATGCTGATTGTTTTCACAATCCAGCTACTCAGCAGCGGAAACAGATACCTCATACGGACTGATGATATGGTTGAGACAGTTTATAATGATAAAGGAGAAATTATCAAAACCAAAGAACGGCGACTTTTCATGTTGAATGATGTGCTGATGTGTGCAACAGTAAATATTCGGTAAGATTGAATTTATATTTTTTAGATGATCATTTGAATTTCAGGTGGAAAAAAATGACATATTGAATTGCTTTTGTGTTGTTGTGTTTACTGTGGCTAATAGTTTCTAGGAGTAGTCATAATAAATGGATAACTAGCTTTGTTATAGTCCTCCAAATTGCTGACCAATATTTGGAAGTTCTAGAGTAAATATGTAGGAAAATTACATCTGTTGGAGATTACAGATAGAAATGCTCTGTAGTGTCTTGTTACTGCTGTGTATTAGTGCTTAGTGGAATACAGCCATGCCCTAAGGTAAGACTTTGTTTTCTTCTTACTTAAATTCAGACTGCAACACACAAAGATTTGTAACTTGACACAATTTGTAAAGTAAATACCACCCTCTACAAAGCAAAAAACCTCCAACAAACAAACAAACAAAACAAAATCCATAATGGTAATGCAGGTTGCCAGAAAAAACCTGGAACTTGCTAACAAAGTTCCAGATGGGGAAGGGTTATTATCTCTGGGACCAAGCATTGAGAGATTAAAGGTGAAATGCTTTGAAAAAAGCATTTTTTCATAGTTCCTTCTGTGCTTTTGTTGGCTGTAATTATGCTGTTACTACATGTATGCCAAGGTTGAGTTCACATTCATATGTTACTTGTATCATAAATTGTTTTATGTAGTGGTACATTCTGACAAAGCAAATGGATTGTTAAAATCTTCCAAGAACAGCTTTTCCTAAGCATAATATGAGTTGATATCTTAATTCATTTCTGAAGTATGAATCCTGTACACATATTTCTGAGTATGTAATTGCTTGGTCTCATGTCCATGTGAGTGAGAAGTGCCATGTAATAGCTACACTATAGAAAATTAAGAAGCTCATGTCAATTATCCTCTCATCCTTGCCTTTACAAATTCTTTACTTTCTTAGTAACACTTGAATATTAACTATTCAGACTTTATCTTCTTTCATAGCAGTAAAGTCTTGGATGTTCTGTATTTGTACTTGAAGCAGCAAAGTGCAGTCTTTGTTTTCCATGTTAAAAGGTAATGATCATGCCAAGTCTCTGCCCCTCTGAGGATTATGCCCTCTGTAAAAGTATGTCTCTTTTGCAAGCCATAGAAAATTCCTCTGTAACTAGTGGAGCCTAGGTAACTGGGATGTTTGAGTGTTCCTGGTTTGCAAAAGATAGATATTTTTACAGGTGACACGACCCTCAGGTCTTTCTTTGCACACAGTGTAGATGAGCAGCAGGAGCTGGTGGCCTGACTCTCAAGTAACAGCAGTTGGATGGGGTGGACGCTATCCCTAGTGACTGAACAACTGTGTCCTGCCTAGGTTTTCTTTTTTACTTCTGAGCTAGGTCAAGAATTTATAAATATTTGCTTAAGTTGTGGCAGTTGTGTTCTTTGTTCATACTTGCTTCATCATTGAAACAAAAGTCTGTGTTGCAGATAGGTAGCTGATTTGCTGAATTTCACCATTTAGTTACTGTTCTCAATAAATGCATTTTGCTGATTTCTCACGGGCAGCTGACTTCTGGATTTCAGTCATTCTTTGTGTGAAGTAAACCTTTTTTGTTCACTTTAACAGCTCTTTTGTGCTTTATAGTAAATGTTTGTTACATGTTCTTGAATGGGAATAAGGGAATGAAGGAAACAAAGTAAAATTAATATTGATGTCGTTTCTATTCCTAATGAGCTTTCTCAGTCTGCTCTTTCCTCTGAAATGCCTGTTGTGATACACACTTCTTAAGCAGCAGCTCAGGCAGGATTACTCTAGGAAGCTGCAGCAGTTGCAGAGGTCTGCTATACAGAATGGTCAGGGCTGTGGGGCTTGGCAGAAATGTTGGCTTGTCAGCCCTTCAGTTGTCCTTCCTGTTGCCAGCAGTCATTCAAAGGTTCCATCATCCCTACTTCCCTAAACATAGCAGTTAGGGCCCAAAAAGAACTGTTTCAAAAAAATCAGGAAATGTGGAGCCAAAGTATAATCCCAAGCACTTGTATTAGGATTTCTGAATGCACACTGATTTTAAAAGATAGTAATTTGTATTTTGCTATAGAAATGTAAGGACTGTTGTTGGCAGTCCTGTGGTGCTTGCAGACAAGATTATCTGCCCCTGCATGGCTGCTCTTTGCACGCTGGGAAAGGTCAGTCAAAAAAGTCAGCCTGATGCGTGTATTTCTTTCAAGTTGTGCACTGTACTCAAGCTGATAAACAGCAGGTTTTAGAAGCTAAAATAATAAATAATATGCCCTGAAACACAGTTGCTTGTCACAGCAATAATTTGTGCATCTTCCAGCTCTTCCTATGAAAGCAGTGGCACCATGACAACTGGCCAGAGGTATTTATTGAAGTGGAGCGTACCGCTGGGACAAGTGGATGTCATAGAGTATGGCAGCAGTGAGGGCCAAGGAGACAACTGCAGGTTCCCACCCCAGCTCCCTGCTGAAAATGTCATCATTAACTCTAAGCCAAGTAAGTGACAGGAGTTACTGACTTTTACAGACTACTTTGTTAAAATCCATATTTGAAATTCAATGGGCTACTGAAAACAAAGGAAAGCATTTTGTCCATGAAGATTTCTGTAACATGCAGAGTAGTAAAACCTCTTTCTTTGGAAACTGAGAATGCATAAAGTGACAGCCAGGCTCCTGCCTTGCAACATGAATTACTTTTATTTGTCATAGTTTAGAATTTTATGCATGAATGAGTAAAGAGTTCTAAAGCATGAGAGTGTACAGACGTGCAAAAATGTGGTGCACCAGTGGTCTTGTGGTCTCTGGTTCTACCTTTGTTCTTTATCCCATAGTTAGAGCAAAGAAGTTTCTCTCAATAAAGAGCACCAAGCCAACCTGTTGCTGTGATTAAGGGTCTGGACACAAGTGATTAGCGCAGGGTAGACTTTACTCACTTCTCTCAAGCCCATGGTATCTTGCCCTTCAAATATGTGCTTCAGAAAAAACCTTAATGAATGTTTTTGAAACAACATGTTAATAGTAATTTCCTCCTAGCCTCTCTCCAAAAATGACCTCAAGCTCTGAAGTTTACAAATTCTTCTGTGCTAGTTAATCCTCCCTGCAAGTCTGCCAACTGCTTTCAAAAGAAATATGAATTTTAAGACTTTACTTGTTAGCTAGACTTTCATACATAAGGAGTTATTTTTATATCCTGTTTATTGCCTAAATATTGTAATATTAAATGCATTCAATATCTCTAGATTGTAATTTGATTCCTAGTAATGGATTATAATTCACGTGCATTTCAGTGCTAGTAGCTCTAGGCATTATTTCACACTACATTTATTTAATATTGCACCCTTGGCTTAATGAATTTTCCCACAGTTGTGCTATAAGGAGGCATAAATGCTACAGCATCAGTGCAGCATTTACTAGCCGCTGTATTCTTTCTCCACGATGGTTTTTGTCTGGTCTTCTTGCTCCTCCTTTTGTAAATAGCTACAGGAAATTTTATGAGCACTTATGTCTTTATTTCAAGGATGACTTAATTCTTGTAACTCCTTTTAAGCAATAAGGGACTACTTAGAGAATGAGATTAAAGCCTTTATCTTATAATTTACCAGCTGCTGTATGCATAACCCTAAAAGAACTATATAAAGAAGTCTATTTCTTAGAATTGGAGGTCCCTTTTGTAGGTGAGTGTGGGAGGAACAGATTGTTGAATATTCCTACTATGATTCTGTGCAACAGTTTCACAGCAGATAAGACCAAATCCTTGCATGTCACCATGGTCATATGGGGAAGAAAAGCATGAGGGAGAAACAAAAACTCCTGACCAAACAGTCATGTAGAACTTCATTGAGCGACTTGACTTTTGAGGTTTTTCAACTTCATCATGATTGGTGACAAAATCACACAAAAAAAGAAATGACTTTGTACATAATTTGTAAATCAACCTTCAGGTTACCTGTAAGTAAAATGTGAGCTGAACTAATTTTTCTCTTGGTAAGCTCTATTATATTCATTCAGTCTTCTAATAAAAAGGATCAAAATATGAGAAATAAAAAGGATTTGAAGGATACTGGGTATACTGAAAAAATCCTCCCTCTGGTTTAATCAAACTTTCCTGGCAAATGATCCAAGTAAATTGAATATAAACAATCATGAAGGAAGAACATCATAGCCTTGTTTTTGCAGATACTACTGTGTTTGCACTGGCTGTTACTCTGAATGCAGAGTTGTTTGAACTGGCCTTTATAGACAGTTTGAATACACATCTAGTTGTGTTAGTTATTCTGTAGAGTTGCCTCTGTAGTTCCAGTTTAAGTTGGCTGGTAAAGATTACAGAAACTCAGAAAGTACAACCTTCCTGCAGAGGGACAGACTGGTAAAACTGTGTACTGGTTTAGTGTGGCTTCTTATTTGCACCCACCAAGTTGCTGCATTTTATAGTTGATGATGACATGATCTTTAATACAGTAGTATCACATCCTGGGTGTTTACTACAAGTTGCAAAGTGGTAACAGAGAAATCCTATCTACTCTGCTTGAAATTTCATATCTTTGCAGCCATCGTAAAATTATGTCTCCCTCTGTTTTCAAAGTACACGATGAAATCCCAGTGGCCTCATAATATGTGGTTTTAATAAAATATAGTGATCATGAACAGTTTGGGATGCTACAAGCAAAATCCTGAGACATAAAACCATTTCTCAGACCTGATTTTCAGCTTACGTATCCAGTTTGTGGGTACTGAAAAGATACAGAATAATGGTGATTCTGTGTAAGTAGTACATTAAGTAGTAGAGGGATTACCTCCTGCATTTCTGGAAGACTGAGAATAGTTGGTTTGTATCTGTCACATACTAGGTTAGTATTCTGACACTGCTGTTGTGATTAGTGAGGATTTGTGATGGATTCAGGTTGTGTTCTTGTGAGGATTAATGGTTATTAGTTACATTTCCCTTATCATGGCACTTTTTTCTCCACCAAAACCTTTTCTGTGAGGAGGTAGCTGTCACAAGGTAGCTTGTATCTTGCCATTTATTATTGACTAAATGCAATTGGTGCTTCCAGTTTTCTATGATGCAAGAAAAAGCAGTATAGTCTAAAGATTCAAACTTTGCTTTGGGTGCTGAATTAATAGCTAAATTTGAATTAATCTTGTACAGCCTGTAATATGCAACTGAAAGTTTGAAAGATTTTATGAGTGTGTATAAATCAAAGGCATGCTTCAGCGCTGTTCTAAGATGAAAAGCAAGGACTGCGTGAACTTGGTTTTCCCTTGGCAAAATCATCAATGGCAGTTTTCTACCCCATTGAGCTTTGTTCAGCAGTCTTTTGTCTCTGGATTCTACACAAGAACATGTTTAGGGGCTGTTTTTTGGTTTTAAGCCATTTGTATTTTGGTAGGAAAAACTGTGTGGCCTGAGGGTGTATGGGGAAAAGCAGGAAAATTTTGAGTGTATGATGCTAAAGTGCCCTGTTCTTGGTGTGCTCTTGCCTTGTTCCTGGTGTTCTCCCCTAGCACCAACAGTAGACTAAATTCTCATAGTTATGAACATGAAAAGGGATTGACGTCTTAGCTGTTTGTCAGGGTCCTTTATTTGTACAATTGATTTTTTTTTTTAGTGGAGTGCAATTACAACTTGTGCTTGCTTCCTGCAATCATAACCAGTAAACATTTCACAGTCTCAGTCTTCAGGAAAAACCACATTTTTCTCAGCAAATTAGTCAAAGTCCTGTTTCATGTATTAGAGTTAGTCCTGCTTGAAAGTCTGTATGGCTCTCTGGCATCCCAGATGAACAGTTTTTGTGGAAGCAGTTATTTAATTATGTGTGCCAAAAAGTGTGATGTGTTAATTTTCTTTGTAGAACCATTGGCAGAAAGATGTGAGATAGAATTTTTCCCCTAGTAAACCCATGTATTGTTCCTGGTAGGCGTTGCTGTTCTCTTCAACTCGGTTAGTTCATGTGCAGAAGCACAGACACAGTCACAGTATGGAAAAGTTGAATTAATATAGGAACAGGGGAATGTTTTCAGTGGGAGCAGAAATTTATATATTCTTGGTTTTGATTTACATGCACTGGTGAGAAATTCACCTCCCTCACCTGGCTGGTGATGCTGTACCCTATGGCTCTCAGGACATGGTTGGGCCTCCTGGCTGCCAGAGTACTGCTGACTCAGATTCAACTTGCCACTGAGAAGGATCCCCAGATTTCTTTCTGTGTGGCTGCTCTCCAGTGTCTGTGCTGTCTGTTCATGCATCCAGGGATGCCCTGTCCCATGTGCAAAGCTCAGCACTGCTAAACCATGGCTGCTCCCCTTTCTCATTCAGAGTTCCAGGGATACATTTGTACTCTGTTTCCACTTGATTGTGTTCTTGATCTCTGTGGGGTTTGTTTACTCTAAAATATAGTAGTGATATGATGCTGAAGTGCAAAAATGATTCCTCTCTTCCAAGTTCCCTTCTGCTTGATGCAGTCACTTTGTGTAGGCCTCTGAGTGTTGGCAGGGAAACAGGGAGGGATGTTTGATGGCCTAGAGTGTGCACTTGTTTCTGTCAATATCTTGCTCAGTGGAATGACATCTCTTTTCAAAAATGAAGATTGTGCTGCTGTGATAGCCACTGCCATTAAAACTAGGTTTTTTTGCAGGTTTGTCTAATGAGAGATACAGAATTAGGGAAGAAAAAAAAAAAAGTCAGCTTTGTGATCCTTCTAAGGCACAGCAATAGTAATACAATATCCAGAGTAAGCAAACTAATATTAAGTGACATATCAACTCTAGCACTGGTGATAAGATTTTAGAAAGAAAGATGTGGCATGACTTGCTAATTGAACTAGCTTTCATCTCAATGAAATATATAAAGATTAATAATGTAAGGCTTTATTTTAATGTTATTTAAGACAATACTATGCACTAAATGAGATTTAATATATTTATAAATGTAAACTGTCACTGATATATACAAACAAAAGACCAAAGAGTTTAAATAAATCTAGTGCCAAAAAGCCTGTTCATCTGAGCAAATGGGGTGACATTAAATACTTGACTTTGTTAAGTGGACGTAAGTTTCTATGTAGTGGATTAGCAAAGACAAATTTAGGTGTTACGTGCTTGTCTCACCCATGCAGGATGAGATTCTTCCCTTTGCCTTTTGTATTTTTTATAGCGATTAGAGGATTTGTCATCCACTTCCTATAAACCTTGTTCTGTGTTGCCAGGGGTCTCATCCACGTCATGACACAGAGTAGTAAAATTATTAGAAACCCAGCTGGTGTGTATGAAAGAGGGAGGTGAGCTCCTCACAGTGCCATTTCCACATGACTTGTTGTAGTCTGATGGGAGCTCCAGTGTAAACCTCTGGCAGCTCGGCCAGTTTATGACTGCCTGCAGACCTGTCTTGGGACCCTGCAGTGCTTTCACCGTTTAAATGCCTTCACACGTGTACTTTCCTTGCCTGTTTATATCAGTGTTTGTCGTTTTGCACCCTGTTTCTCCCTCACCCTTTGTGCC